GAGTCTGCTTCTCCCTCTCCCACTCCCCCTGCTTGTGTTCCCTCTCTCGCTGTGTCTCTCTCTGTCAAATAAATAAAATCTTTAAAAAAAAAAAAATTAAGGAAATCTTGCCATTTGTGACAATGTGGATGGACCTTAAGGACATTATGATAAGTGAGATAAGAGAAATACCATATGATCTCACTTATGTGTGGAATCTAAAAAAATAAATAAAAACAAAAAACATTCACAGGCACAGAGAACAGATTGGTGGTTGGGAGAGGCAGCTGTGAGTGGTGGGAGAAATGAGTGACTGAGGGTCAAAAGATACAAACTTGCAGTTAGAAAATAAGTCAGTCATGTGGATGTAATGTACAGCATGGTGACTGTAATTAATAATACTGTGTTGCATATTTGAAAGTTTCTAAGTGAGTGAAAGTTATCACAAGAAAAAAATACTTTTGTTAATATGAATGTGATGGATGTTAACCAGAATTTCTGTGATGATCATTTTGCAGTATATCCATATATCAAGTCACTATGTTCTACACCGAAAGCTAATGTAATGTTGTATATCAATTACACCTCAAGAAAAAGAAAAAGAAAAAAGAATACCTCTTGGGAGCAATTCTTGGTAGTAATATCCAAGATGTTTCTTCTAGATGCACTGTTGAAATGGATAGCCTTTACTGCTATTCTTGTGTAGGTTTATAGAGTCGGCATCCATTCCCTTTTGATTGTCTTTCGAATCTGTTCACAGTTTGTAACTCCCCGTGAGGCCATGACACTCCCATCATTCCATTACCTGATATGAAGAAACTTCAAAGCGAATTAAAAGAAATGACACAAACTTTTTTCTAGAGGGGTTCTATATACATATATATAATATTTTATTTTAAAATGTCATTGAGCATATACATTTCTTTAGCTTTTTCCAGGGAACATCGCACCTAAGTTTCAAAACACACAAAATAGACCCCCTTTACTAAACAGTTTTCATTTTGGGGGGTTACAAATTCAAGGTTTCACAATCACAAAGCATAAAGGTACATGGTTCTGAAACCATTTTCAGGCAGATTCCTGTCATTCCCTGTACATCTGGCATTTTTGGAAACCCAGATCTTACAAATGATCTCCACCGTGGGCCTCCCTGGGTCTCCAGAAGAAACAGAGAAAATGGAAGCGAACAGAAATAAGAGAATTACCTCAGGACTCCCCAGACACAAAATACTATGGAAGGTCCGAAAAGTGGGGGGGCACAAGGTTCTCCTTCAAGTACATCACAGTAGAAAACAACAGCACATTTACAGCCTTATTTGGTCACTGTCTACCTGGTTGCTATGTGAACAAGACTTCATCTAAGACGCAGAGGAAAAATGAAAGCTATTTACACGTAACATCATGGGTTAGAAAGAGCAGTCGTGCCCAGACCGGCACTCAGATCTGACAAAGAGCTGCCATGGTGCTCGCCTGAGAGGCAAGGAGCCTGCTCACGTAGTGTCCTTTGAAAAATCCCAGTGTGCGCATCTGCCACATCAGCCACGCCCACCCAGAGTCTGCCCTGCATGGTGGGCGGTGTATGGTGTGCAGACTCTCAGCCTTCTCTGCAATTGTGAAGTTCTCACAAATCCAAGTTTCTAAAGTAAGATTCTGTCCTGGGGCCAGATACTGTTTTCCTGTTTTCTGAGATCTGGTAAATTTTAGGGTCAGCCTGATTGTTCTTTGCATAGACAATGACTCTTCACTGCTTTCTCCAAGTGTCCCAGAAGCAGTAATTTACTGAAGACAGAATCTCATAAAAGTTTAACATATTCCCTCTGAGAACAGTGGTGCTGCTGGGTCACTTAAGGAAAGGTCAGATCCTCAAACTGTGGTGGAAAGAAACCACTGACCGCCCTTGGCCGTGTTGAAAACAAATGGATTGGCAGACGAGGAAGGAGGTGCAGTCTAGAGGAGAATCAGAATTTTAAAGATGTGGGAGTCTTTTTCCGTATGTTTCCATGCTAGTGCTCTTGGTAAACCAAAAATCCTGCCCGAATGGCCAAGATCTGAGGCCAAATCTGGGTCCCAAGACTCTCATCCCTGCCCACCAATACCTGCCTACAGCTGTAGTTGTCCCGAGACAGAAGTGAATACTTAGGAGTAAGAAGAAGGTGAGCGCAGCTGACTTCGCACAACCCCATAGAGGTAAGCTGCTAGGAATTAAAAAATCAAACACCCTAAATTCCCCAAAGTTGTGGAAAGGAACTGAAATTGCCACTTTTTGTAGTTTGTCCTAGTCCACAGCTGAGTACTTGGCCTAGCCCGATTTTCCCCTCTCCCTTCCCACCCCAAGAAGGGCAGTTAGGTAAGCAGACCCACCGCAGAACATACCCTCCATCTCTGACTGCTGGCGCTTCTCTCACTGCAGGTGTCGTGAGAACAAAGGTTTGGCTGTCGCCTGGCAAGAAGCTACAAGGTGTGGATGGAGTATGAGTTTGCTCTCTTTAAGGAAAAGACCCATCCCCAAGTATTCCGAAGAGTAGGGTCCAGCCCAACAAAGAGATTTAGAACCGAAAGAGCCTTTCATTAGAGGAAGTGGCCATACATACCCCAAGACAACCATAAAGACTTGACTAGGAAATCGAAAGCTTTTTATTAAACAAGACTTCCTCTGAGGCTATTAGGACAAGCAGATTTGGCTATAAGTCAGATACACAACATTTCAGAACCACATATAAATACGTTCTTCAGAATTTTGAGTCTGTTGCCTTTTGACCTCTCCAGGAATGCTCCAAGGGCCAACCCTGTTATGTAGACACAGTTGCTGCTCTTGGGATGAGATGGGACGGGGCCTGGGTGAAAAATAAAGCCAAACAGAGTAAGCTCAATTCACAGAGCAATATCAGTGCTGAGAAGATCTGCTATGGACATTAACACATCACTTTTTCCACATATGATTTATCCACCTCGTTTGTAATTTTCCTCCCATCCCCCAAACAGAAAGAGGGCTTGAGCTTTTTAACTAAGATCTTTCCACCAAGGAGGCTTATGACAAGAATTCCTGGATACCTTTCTAACTAAAACCAGCAGGACTAAATGCTCAAGACTTTAGGATAAATTGAAAAAGGGGGTTCCAGAATTTTTCCTGAGACATTTCTTTGCAGTACATGAATTGGTGACTTGAGTAGAGTAGAAGACTATCATGACATCTATGCCCAAAGTCGGACTCTGGTGGCTCAAATAAAAGTAGAAAAGTGCAAGGTAGGACCAACATCAAAGCGCAGGAGAGAAAACAGATGAAAGGCAAGGGGAACACGGGAAAGAGGTGATTGCTTGTGAGGAGAGCTTCCCAAAGAAGGCCGTTCAGAGTCCTCCACAAAAAACTTTCTCGTTTTCGGGCGCCTGGGTGGCTCAGTCGTTAAGTGTCTGCCTTCGGCTCAGGTCACGATCCCAGGGTCCTGGGATCGAGTCCCACATCGGGCTCCCTCCTCGGTGGGAAGCCTGCTCTCCCTCTCCCACTCCTGCTGCTTGTGTTCCTGCTCTCGCTATCTCTGTCCCTGTCAAATAAATAAAATCTTTCAAAAAAAAAAAAAAACTTTCTCATTTTCCCCTTGTACCTGACTTTGAGTCAGGGCAGGGACAGAAGGTGGAACCACACTGTGGGAGATGCCTGCACATTGTCCCACAGCATCTTATTCTGCCAGAGGAGCAAATGGCTTCCCACAGATTGGTCCCCAAAGAGCCATCTGGGGTTGCTCAGATCTCCTGGAGGAGGAGGCAAGCTGTCAGATGAAGATGACCCCTGACAAGGTAGTAGTCCAATTCTTCCCAGGCAACATTTTGGCAAACAGCTGGTGGGTAAATCCCCAAGTACTTTACCTACCAGACAGGGCATCATTTCCACAGCGTGGAATGAATTCATTCCTGAGTAGAGAGGCTCCAGGCCTTTCCTACTGGAATATCTACAACTCCAGGAAGGTGACGAACTGTCCTGGAGGAAAGGTTCCTCTCGTCTCCTCTCCTCTGGGGAAGGGACCCAGCAAACACGTGAACTGGAACTGGCTCTCCAGCAGTTTTGGGAATCACATCACCAACATTGTTCTTTACTGGGTGGGAAGAATGTTTAAATTACACAAAACTGTCAGGATGGTGATGAAACCACAGGAGGTGTGCAGGAAGAAGACTCAGTAATTGGACATCGCTCTACAAGGTCCTCCGGTGCAGAGCAATAGTCTGCCCAAGAGATAGAAGTGATTTCTAAAAACCTATTTTGTGATTCCTCTTGAAAGAGAAGCAACAGGTAGATTTGGTGTCCACTGCTTCTGCAGCTCTTGTGAGGAACGCTCAGAAGTGGAGCTACAATGGGAACTGGGGTTGCAGCTGTTGGGTGGCTGGGGAAGGAATGGGGCACACAGCAGGAGAATGACCAGTCAACCCAATTCAAATTCACTTTAATCAGATGGCTATTCTGAGTGGGCCTTGCCTGAAGATGAGGGGGAGAGCAGGACTGCTGCTCCCTGACAGTACACGGATATGTACTGATGTGGAGTGGCCTTGGGGACAATCATAGCCCATGGAACCTGGATCCAAAAGGGAGGGTCTTCATATGAGGTATGGTGACCTGACTGATACATGGAGCTTCCTGTTCTGATCTCTTCAACACTGCTTTACGTATGTCCCCATGGCACAGCAGGTGGGGAGGGCCAACCATTCCAGAAATGAAAACCTGGGTTCTCAGAGAAATCTCAAGCCACAAAAGGGGGACCCTTGAAAACAACTGAGGAACTGTTGGTCCAAAGAAACACCCATATTTTCATGAAAACACACTGATTTGGTGAGAAAATGCAACTCAGGAACAAACTGTTACACAACAAAGACAGTACTCTGTCAGCCAGGGCACCGCTCCAGAAGGCTGCCTGGGTGGTGTGGGCTACAGGATATGGGGACGGCCTGGGCTGGACTTTGACACACAAATTCCTCAGCAAGGAGATGGAAAGTCCCAGGCCTGTTTTATGAAAGGGAAACAATTAAGATTCAAAGAATATCGAAAAGAAAAAATCCCTGCCTCACCCCACCATAACCATGAAAGAATGAAAAGAGAGACAGACAGACACACACACACACACAGATGGTGTTCCCTGAAATAAATCTCAGGCTTACTAGGAGGTGGGTGCGTACACTTTCTGAGGCATGATCCCCAACTTTCCAATGCAGCACTTTTAACCCGTAGAGAAGCTGGCAGCTTGACAGGCCGAAGAGTCTTCTGCCAGTTACACCTGAAAATGGCTGCCCAGCTACTCCAAATAAATATGTGTGTGCCCAAAATAGGCAATGGCCACCCAGGAGGCCTATTAAAGGAACCAAAAGAAACACAACACTCAGTAGCAGCCTTTATGTTTTGCTCTGGTTGAGTATCCAGACCTGTTACTGAAGAGGAAACTGAAATCTAAGGGTCCCCCAGAAGTACCGCCAGAGGCCTTTTAGCAGCAAACTCCCCACCTGGGCTGGGAAGAGGTTGCATCCCCTGAACTCTGCGGGGGCACGTCCCAGTCCCGCCCTGCTAAGAGGTATCCCAGCTTTCTCCCCTGCTGTCCTCCTGATGCCCCGGGCTGTTTTCATGAAAGTTTGTTCCCATGTATTAAAGGAATGACATATACAGAAATGTCGTCTCCTGAGCCCAGTCGGTCATTAGATATCCGCCATCCTCTGTCCTTCAGGACACCACGGGCACGCATCACCAGGTCCTGAGCTGCCAATGTGTACCTGTGTAGGGAGAAGCAGGGATGAGACCATCAGTGCGGCATCAGGCGGAATCTGGAGTCGAGGAAGCCTGGGAAAGAGGCATCACTACAGCTGTGTCAGCAGTTTTCAAATACCCCTAAAGTCTCCAAAAGTCTAGGCAAGGGGCGCCTGGGTAGCTCAGACGGTTAAGCATCTGCATTCGGCTCAGGTCATGATCTCTAGGTCCTGGATCGAGCCCCACGTTGGGCTCCCTGCTCAGCAGGGAGTCTGCTTCTCCCTCTCCCTCTGCCTCTCCCCCTGCTCATGCTCATTCTCTCTCTGTGTATCTCTCTGTCTCAAATGAATAAATAAAATCTTAAAGTCTAGGCCATCTTTTCCCAAAATGTGGGATGCCTAACGTGAGATTATTCTTTTAAGTGGATGGACAAGGCACCACATACATTAAATAACCTCCTAAATTATTCTGCTCTTGAGTCCTTTGATGTTTTTGGTGATGTCAAGGAGACAGTCTCCATTTGGTGTGAATCTGTCTTTAATTTGGACCTGCTTGGGCTCATAGCTTTGCTTGGCAAACCATGCCTCACTGAAAAAGTACTTGGGAATCATAAGAGCTTTGGTTTTCAGTGTTTATTTTTTGGACCACATTCTTTTTTAGGACAAAGGATAGTCATTTTCCATTTATGGTAGGGGTCAATCTTCTAAAATAAAATTGTTTTTAAAAAGTGAGTTGATTTAAATAAAAACATCAATAGTACATGTAGCATTGGAATACAGTAAAAATGTGAAGGTGTTTTTGGGAAAGGACTGATAAACCTTTGTGTGAATGAGCTATTCACCCACCCTTATCAATGCCATTCTCTCCTCTAGATCAACGTAGGTACGGGGGGGGGGGGGTCCACCAAGAATTAGAAAATAAGATTGCTCATAGAGATTTAAACTCGAGGAAAAAGAATGGCTACATTATTAGTCAATGGAAAATATTAATATCTAAAGACCAGTGTGGGAGGGGATTTTGGTGGGTGTAGGCCTGGGTTGGCCTTGAGGCATTAAAAAAAAAAAAACGAGACAAAACATTGGCAGGTGTCTATCCAAATACTGATCAGAGCACAGAGAGTCTTAGCTGACAGACTTCAAAGAGATTTAGTTCCGCTGGTACAACCATATTTAGTGTGGATGAATTACTCCCTCAGCCTATATGCCATTAAACATGATTCACCGTTAACTCTGATTTCACGTTCACCAAATAACCTGATTATGATCTGGCTCGTGTAGGCCTGCCTACAGGGAAGGAATGAGCCAGGCATTGTACTTTAGGAATATCAGTCAGTTATATTTCTCCATATAAATGTCAACTGGCATTTCAGTTTCCAAATCAGTTTTGTAAGCTTGTTTAGGGTGAGCCCAGCTCTGACAATGAATCTGTTCTTTGTATGTTGATTAAACCAGTTTCTGAGCCTGAAAAGCTAAAAGCTAGACTCTGATAAATCACGAAGATAATAAATGTCACCCTATAAGGGAGGCTTCTTGGAAGGCTTTAACGACAGACCTTTAACAACAGACCACCCTGATATTACTAGTGGTTTTTCCCTACTTTGGAATGTCTCTGCCTTGCCCTCAGGACTGTGATTTTATGGAATTCAGAACCCCAGAAGGCTCTTCTATTTCTTCTGTTAAGACCCTTTATGGATTTACTGAGTCTCATATTAAAGGAGACCGGCAAAAAAATTATTAATTAATTAATTAAATAAAAATAAGAGACTAGCGTCTAGCCCATCATCACAATATTTAAGACTAAGGTCTGCAGCAAATGATCTCAGGATTAAGACTCCAGGACATAAAGTCTTTGAGACTCAAGTCTCCTTGCAGCCCAGGCAGGAGAGGACTGCAGGACACACTCTAGGTGGCAGAGGAGAGGCTGTTTGAGTTAATACAAAATAAATGCCTTTCCTCCTGGAGGGTGGGTGGTGGGTGGGGAGGAGAGACACCTTCTTCTTCTATCTGTATGAAGAGAATTATCAGCTTTGAGGCAGAAAAGTCTTCAGTAGCACTTGAGGGAAGATGCAGCCAGTTAGCCCTTCCAGTGGGTTCTCCTGTTGAGATCAGGAAATAAACAGAAAGGAGTCCAGAGAGGCCTTTGGCTCAAGGGCCAAATAAATGTCCCCAAATCCACATACTGCAGCTTATACTATATTCAGAAGAGTCTCTCAGATGCTCACCCCAGATTACTCTTGGGTTTATATTAAACTGTATATCTGAGAAAGAACCATGCCGGGAAAGGCTACCAACAATATCGGAGTGATGTTTATTATCCTGGTGATTGACCAGGGTCCAGACTTTAGCCTTTCAAGTTAAGAAACCTGGCTGAGTCAATACCGAGTAGATTCATCTGTCAGGGCTGAACACACCCTAACCCAGCTCAAGAGCATGCTAGACAGAGAAAATTGTAGCAAGTCATGATAAAAGGTGGCTGACGGTAAAAGAAAGATGCTCCAAGATGTCAAAAAGCAGAGAAAAGAACTCAAAAGGCCAGCTCTCTGTGGCTAGTCTAGGGAGAGGCGAACTGTCCTGTGGGGCAACGATGGCGAGAGATCAAAATGAAGTGAAGTCAAAGGATGATCACCCTTAGTTCAAGGCAAGAGACCACCCTGATATTGTCACTGCTGGTGACTCTGGGTATTTAAAAATGGTCAAAATTAGCAGTGGTATTTTAAAAAGCAGCATTAGGTCACCTAGAAAAGATGGTTACCCAGGAAACTCATTTCCCTGAGGGCTCTAGATAATTAAGGTTTTATTCTTAAAAATGGTTATTGCCTATTCCAAGATCACTTCCCTCGAGCCTGAATTTCTCTTTACCATCCATTCTGTCTTCCCTTAGGTGCTGAACTTGAGAGAGAAATCCATTTTTGCTTCTTCAATTTCTTCCCTTTTTCCCCCTTAATCTCTTACCAGTAGGCCCACTACCTCACTCATCTGGCCTCTTACACCTTGACCTAAAAGCTTCTTCTCAGTACTCGTTCAGCTCAACCTTGCTCCAGCACAGATACCACTGACCATCTTCTTTGCCTTTGATGTCTCCTGTCTTCCTGAATTCTTTTTTGGGCGGGGGTTGGGGGGAGGAGTGGGTAGGGGGGACAGCTTCCACTCCACTCCACACTCCCCAGTTCTCCTGCGTCTGGGCTTCCATGACACATGACACAAGCTCTTCTCTCTGATGCTCCTTAAGTTCCTTGGGAGGCCACAGGTAAGACTTAAGAAGAAATCAATAAATATTAACCTATTAACAAGGTAGGACTTGCCCATCTATCATCCTGAGTTAATGCGATCCCCAGTCTCTTAGGCAAGAAAAGATGGTCATTTTCAATGCCACCTCCTCACCCTGATATTTTTCAAAGATAAAATCCACAAGATTGAGTAGGACTTCTAAACTTTGTATTTTAAAGTGTATTTCATTAGTGGTACATGGCTAATTAAAATAAAATCTAATCTCATAGTTACTAAGATGTAAGCTGTACTTATTGTAAAAACTGATATACCGGAGCTTATTTCTGCCATCACTAATACATATAAATATATATAAAACTTCCTGTGTGTTTTCTGATTATGTTTTTCTTCATTCTTGCTTTCTGAAATCAGGTTGATTGCTTTAACACCTTTTCCCTCCCTCTACTGGTTTAGAAGTGATAGTTAATTTCTTTCATTTTAGCACTTATGCTTAAGTTTTTAACACAAAGGTTAATCAGTATTTATGTCCTCCTTCAGAAAATAAAAGGATCTTAGAATGCCTTCTATCATCTTTCATGTTACTGCCAGGTAGTTGAATTTCATCCTTTTTTTAAAGCCTCTATTAGTCATTATTATCATTTACAATCCATACTTATGTAAATAAACCAACATACTAACTTCTGTGGTTTTTGAAATCCATTCCTTCCTTCTGGATTTGATTTTTTTTTTCTGTTGAAGTCCATTTTTAGAATTCTTTCAACAATGGTCTGTGAGGGATTAAACTCACCTAGTCTTTGGACCACAAAAATCTTTTATTTTTGCTTTTAATCTTGCATGATAGCTTTATAGGGTATAGAATTCTGGATTGACCATTACTTTTCCCTCAGCAGTTTAGAGATAATATTTCATTTATTGTGACTTCTCTTGTTGGGAAGACATTTCTTTATAAGGAAATATCTTCTCATTGGTAGGTTTTTAAGTTTTTACTGTTATCGACGGTATGAAGTTACACCAAGACATAACAATGAGGATTCATTTTTATCTATCATGGTTGAAAATCTGTTTTACTCCTTCAAATGAGAAGATATTTCTTTGAATCTGGAAAGTTTTCAACTGTGAACTTTTTGAATATTGCTTGCCCTCTATTTTTTTAATATTTTCTCCTATTAGACCTTCCCCACTTTGCCTTCCAGATTTCCACTTCTTTCCTGTTTTCTTTTTTCTGATTTCTATAAATTCACTAATTCCTGTTTTAGTGGTTTACTTTTCAATCCATTCAGTATAGTTAACTCTTCAACAACACGGAGGTTAAGGGACAACAATCACCACACAGTCAAAAATCCAAGTATAACTTTTGACTCTCTGAAAACTTAACTACTAATAGCCTATTGTTGCCCAGACACCTTACTGATGACATAAACAGTTAATACATATTTGGTATGTTATACTTATTATATATACTGTATTCTTACAATAAAGTAAGCTATAGAAAATATTATTAAAAAATCGTAAGAGAAAACATATTTGCAGTACTTTTTCAAAAAAATCCATGTATAGGGGCGCCTGGGTGGCTCAGTTGTTAAGCGTCTGCCTTTGGCTCAGGTCATGATCCCAGGGTCCTGGGATTGAGCCCCACATTGGGCTCCCTGCTTGGCAGGAAGCCTGCTTCTCCATCTCCCCACCCCCCCCCCCTGCTTGTGTTCCATCTCTCACTGTTTCTGTCAAATAAATAAATAAAATCTTAAAAAAAAAAAAATCCATGTATAAGTGGACTCATGCAGTTGAAACCCATGTTATTCAAGGGTGAGCTATGGTAACTTTATTTCAGTGACATACTTTTCTCCATTGTGAATTTTCATTTGGTTTTCCAAATTTACCTCTCCCTGCCTTGTGGTTCTATTTGTACATGTTTAAAGTTTCAACCTGTTC